TTCACCAGGAGCTGGTGAGAGGAAGGAGGGGAATGGTTAATTTCTCCTTGTTTTAGATCCCAGGGGGTTTGGATCTGTATTCACCAGGGAATTGGTGAAGGTTTTTCAAGGCTTCCCAGGGAGGGAATCCATTGGAAATGGTGGCAGCGGGACCAAAGCTAAGCTGGTAGTTAAGCTTAGAAGTTTTCATGCAGGCCCCTACATTTGTACCCTAAAGTTCAAAGTGGGGATACAGCCTTGACACCATCTCAAAGTATTCCTCCCCCAAGTAATGAGTACAGTTCTTCTCCACTTTTATTAAGACCATCTCCATCAAGCAAATGTTTACTGGTGTCTTGAATGCTCACTTAATATAGATTTCTTGCAGTTATGTCACAAAACGTACTGGGCCTGATTTGCTACTGTGTGGACAGAGCAGGGAGTGAACTGTGCATGTGTACACCCTGTAACTGCAGGGACAACTAAACATGTGTTGGTGGTGGGTGTGTGTGGGGTTGGAGGGAGGAGGGGTTTATCTTATTGGAAAATGGAGGCTGTGGTACTGCTGCTGGCCTTCCCCACAGATTCCTTCTAGGGAAGGAAGCTCCAAGGTCCAGCCAAGTCTCCATTGGAGCCTCACCAGTAGAGGCTGCCTGGGAGAGAGAATGAACTTTCTCCTATCCCCTTCTGCCCTGCTTTTGCCCATTTTGCACACTGTGTTTGGTGACTATGCCCCTCATACTTCTAGTGAAGTGAGGATTGCAAGTGGCTTATGCCGCTGCATCCATGTTCTAAGGGGTCTATCTGCTGATGCAGACTCGCAGCTTGGATTCTATAAGTGGAACCTAAAACGGTATTTCAATCTATTATTTATGTTGAGCCTGATTTTCAGAGGTGCCGAACACCTGCAGCTTCCATTGTCTTCAAGTGTGTGGTCAGCACTTCAGAAAATCAAGCCCATTATTTTCCTATAAAACTCCAAGGATGTGTAACTCTACTGGGTTCTATTCAAGCCTTTTGTATTTACCGATTTAATAAAGAAAATAAAGACATGACTCTGTAATACACTCATCTACATTTAGTTTACACACTGATTTTTCTCTTATAACAGTTGGAGAATACTACTCAATCAACTACATTGCATTTCTTGATGCAAAAGAAACCTGGGATGGCAGAACCTTGACACTGCCTGCTAAATTGACCTTCAACAGTTCATCACTGGTATTTCATTTTCAATTTTATTTTATCCTTTATAATTTATGTACACACAGTATGGGAATACTGGAATCTGCTCTTGGCTGCCTAAATGATGAGGTCAGCACATAGTGATACAAGCTTTTAGACACTATTCTCTGAGTGACTGTGATGAATCTGTAAATACATGAGTATTATACATTAATGATGGGAGTGACTTATGATGGGCCTCTCAAGTTCAATAGATGAAAGAAGTTAGAGCTCTATTATTTGTGTATTAGCCTATAATTTTCTCCCTATATTTGGGACCTCTCTCCATTTTATCTGTGCATTCAGAAAATAGCAAAGTTTCATCCATTTGTTTTATGAGTATGTTATAATGTAACCTGAATGTGTGAATGTTCACGCTTGAACTCCTTGTTGTCTCCTAGGAATTGAAAGTTGTGCCATATACCGGTGGAAATGTAATTTTCTTTTTCTTTATAATATGGTCTCAGATTTTCCCTGGTGGCTTTGCTTTCTTAATTGTGGGCATTCTTAATGTACTTGTTCATTTGTGGCCAATTCTTTTACCGTGTCTTTGTATATATGTAAACAAATATATATTAAAATCCCTTTTATGTAAAGACCAATTGACCATCTTAGTAAGAATGATTTATGACAATTCTTTAAATGGCTCTTTTCATTCAGCATTTAATGACTAATTGGAACAGCCATAATTAAAAAGAAAAGTCAACCATTAATTGATGGGGGCTAGGAAACTACTTCTCCTATAAACAGGTTTTTCCAGCATTGCCTTTTATGGGGTTTTTGCACCTCCCTCTGAAACATTGGGTATGGTCCACTGTCAGAGAATAGGTGGACCACTACACTGTTTTGATAGTGCAATTTTTGTATGATCTGAAGATGAGTTGTCTGTGCGCGTTTTCCTAAGGGCTAAGGTCATGCATGAAAGGAGTGAGGTATTGAGACGCATTACGTCACAGCACCTAGAAAATCACTGTGATTCACAAAGCCTGAGTTAGTTGCCCAGGCTCCCAATACAATGAATAGGGAGACACAAGCGCCTTAGACAGTGATCCACAAACACCAGTATGCCAGGCAGGGAGCCACCTAAGCTAGGCAATGGGAGATGCTGACCAGTGGTGTGTGCACTAAGCCTCACCCCTCTCACAGAGTTAGGCACCTAAGTCTGGGTTGCGGGGAGGTGCCTATCTCTACCAGCAATTCTCTGCTGTGAACCCTTTCCTGTATTTAGGTACCTATGCTGTTTTAGCAAGAAGCTGGAGATAGGGGTTGGGGAGGAGGACCTCCTGCATAACTTTTAGCCCAGTGGTTAGAGTTCTCACCTGAGATGTGGGAGACCCCCAGTTCAAGGCTCCTCCTCCACCTGAGGGAGAGAAGGGATTTGAACAGTATTTTGCCACCTCTCAGGTGAGGTATGAGGGAGGGCCTCCTCTTTCGCCTCTTCCCCCCAAACCCCACTCCACTGTTTTTTTATGAACTCGTCTGAGCGACCTGATCTGGTATGTGTGTTTAGAGGATGCTTACTGGATTGGGTCCCACACACAACTTAGGTGGCCAAATGCCTATCATCCCCTGGTTTGTGAATTGCTCTGGGACTTAGGTGGGAGATAGGCCTCTGGACGCCTAGAGGGAGGTAATAGCCTTTACGCTCAGAGGCAGGAACATAGGTGCCTAGGGAACTTTTACTGCAATAACGTTAGATGACAAACAAGTTCAAACACCTACAGGGTTCAGTGGGAGTTTCGTGCATTGCTATGGTCGCAAAACTGGGAGTTAGGTACCTAACTCCTTTGTGCATCCAGGCCTAACTGTATTTCCTTTCATCTTGGTTTAGAAGTTGCTTGGGGTTGAGTTTTCTGAGAAGTTTGAAGACTTAGGGCCATATCACATGGGCATAGACAAGTGGGGCTTAGAGGTCTTTAGTGCCCTCCCTTCCTCCCGCCCCTCTCCTACCCCCCCCCCCAAATATTAGGGATTTCATTAATAAATAAAGGAAATACTGAGTTTGGAACAGAAGATCATTTTTCACTTTATTAAAAGTGGATTAATTTAGTCATGGTATAAAACTATTAAATCATAGTATTAAAGCCTTATCTGGCCCTCCCCCAATCAAAAATGTCTATGTCCCTTTACTGCCTCTAGCCCCCTGGAAAGGGACTGGAGGCCCAGGAAACTCCCCATGGTTATCTCCCATTGCCAACTATTCCTCTTTTAAGGGAGAAAGGAGTTTGCTGAAGGGGAAGGGGGCACACCAAGGAAGTAGATTGAACGGCATCCAAAATCAGGATTCACAAGAGAAGAAACTCCAACTCCGCAGTAAGTTTATCCCTCTAATTCTGCCTGGCTTTGTGGCACCATGGTCCCTTTGAGGTATTTCCTGATATTAATTAGACCAGTGATTCTCAACCAGGAGTCCGGGGGCCACAAGCAAGTTGCAGAGGGTCCGCCAAGCAGGGCCAGCATTAGACTCACTGGGGCCCAGGGTAGAAAGCCAAAGCTCCACTGCATGGGGCTGAAGCCCAGGGCCTAGAGCTCCGCCACCCGGGACTGAAGCTGAAACCTGAGCAATATAGCGTCACAGGGGCTCCTGTGGCATGGGGCGCCAGGCAATTGCCCTACGTGCTACCCCCTAACACAGATCCAGGTTGTAAAAGATTTGACGAAGGAAAGATGAACCAAAGCTAACGCAATTCAAGACAAAGAACGGAACAGTCTTACAGAAGAAAGGGACATCATCAATAGGTGGACAAATGACTGCTCTGATCTATATAACCATCAGGCAAATGGAGATCTTAGTGTCTTAGACAGCCCAGATTCAACAGAGGAGGATGACTTTCCAATACTACGTGAAGAAATGGAGACAGCTGTGAAATCACTCAAGAATGGAAAGGCTACAGGTATTGACCTAGCCGAATCGATGAAATTCAGAGGAGAATAGTAATAGATGTATTCACCAAGCTCTGGCAGTCTGGTGAGCGGCCCTCCATGTGGACACAGTCACTAATCATCACTCTGCCAAAGAAAGGCAACCTGCAATTGTGTCGAAATTACCTGATCATAAGCTTAATTAGCCATTCCAGGAAAGTGATGTTGAAAGTCATATTGAACAGATTGAAGCCACAAGCAGACTGTAGTGAAGTGAAGACTCACTGGTGTGGCGACTCCTGCTGGTCACCTGGGAATTAGCTCTTTTCCAGCGTACAAAGCGCCCTCTGCAGGCCAGTGTCTCACCTGCCGCTGGCCCCATGTCCTTCCCGGACCCCAGTGCCCTTTACCTCGGGGTTCTGCCCCAGCAGTACCCCCATGCTCTGAGTCTCCCTTCCCAGGGGAACCCCCAACCCTCTAAACCCACCTTGCCTCAGTGGCTACTGCCAGTCATCATCTAGCCCCCACTCACTGGGGCAAACTGCAGTCTGTAGTGGCCACTCCTCATTGGCAAGGGGTTTGGACCTGCTGCCTTTGCCTATTCCCAGGCTGTATCCCTGCAGCCCCAGTACATCTGTAGGCCTTCAACAAGGCCTGCAGCCTGGGGTTTTACCAGGATGGAGCTTCCCAGCTCCCTTGCCCTATTCCCCAGCACTGCTCCAGGTACCTTCAGGTAACTTCCTCTCATGCAGCTAGCCATTCTCCCTCCAGGGCTGGAGAGAGACTCCTCTGCCTCCTGGCCCCACAGCCCTTTTATCAGGGCCAGCTTGGCCCTGATTGAGCTGGCCACAGCTGTGGCTGCTTCCCCAATCAGCTTAGCTTGGCTGCTTTTAACTCCTGCCTATCGGAGTGGGGCAGCCGCCCCACTACACAGACAATATCATTGTTGAAGAACAGGCTGGCTTTCATGCTGGAAGAAGTACCACAGAACAGATTTTCAACCTTCGTGTTCTATGTGAGAATTACTTTTAACACCAGCAGGACATCTACCACGTCTTTGTTGACTTCAAGAAGGCGTTTGACAAAGTATGTCATGAAGCTCTCTGGGCAACCATGAAGAAGTCCAATGTTGGTCATAAGTTTATTCTTACCATTAAACAACTGTATGCCAAGGCCAGCAGTGCAGTTCTCGTCAATGGCACAATAGGAAAGTGGTTTCACACCACTGTTGGAGTCCTGAAAGGCTGCCTTCTTTCGCCCACACTGTTCAACATCTACTTGGAGTGCATAATGACTGATACCCTAGAAGATCATACATGCACGGTCAGCATTGGGGGGGGCAAATAATCTCAAATCTTCGGTTCTCTGATGACATTGATGGCCTGGCGGGCAGCGAAGATGAACTTGCCAACCTTGTGAAACGATTGGATGAAACCTCCATAAAATATGGCGTGGAAATCAGTGCAGAGAAAACCAAGCGGATGACAAACAAATGTGATGGGATCAGCTCACATATCACTGGTTTCAGAGTAGCAGCCGTGTTAGTCTGTATCCGCAAAAAGAACAGGAGTACTTGTGGCACCTTAGAG